GTGTGTGTGTGTGTGTGTGTGTGTGTGTGTGTGTGTGTGTGTGTGTGTTACATAAGCCAGCTGTTCATGTGGTGAAAATCAAATCATTCCCGTGAATGAGTCAAGTGGATCTGAGGGCCTCTCAGACTCTTTGCTCTTGTCTCTTCAGTGTCCATATGTGTTCCTCACCCCTGCTGGTTTCTTCAGCTCTCTTCTTCTGCTTTACTAAACTTCTAGTTTATTCTTTACCATATGTGCAAAAAGCTCCATCTGCACATTATTTTCTCCATCATTCCTCTCCACACACTGATTTCTACTGGATGTTCCAGAGTCTTTATTTATCAGGGCCATAAAACTTCTTACTTAAGTGCTGAAAATTTCTTAGCTTTGCTCCTACTCTCAGACTTAAGTGTAAGTGCCAGTTATCAAAATTCTTAAGTCTAAGAATCACTCTTACTCTCAAGAAAAGTTAAGACTGCTCCAGAGGACTCTTCAGTGGTTCAGAGTTGCCACTAGGGGTCTGAGATGGACTGAGGAGACAGAGATTACATCTGTCCTCCTCCCCACCTGAGTGTTATTCTCAGTTACAAGGTGGAAAACAGGTTTAATCAGAAATATACAAAAGAAACAAAGGTAAAAAAAAATAAAAAATAAAAAACTGTGCATAATGTTGGACTAAAAGGCGGATATCTGTGTGTAGCTTTTGGAGAAAATATTAAATATACTCAGCTGGTGAGTGCAAATGCTGTAATGCGCAAATTTCCCCACTGTGGGATCAATAAAGTTTTATCTTATCTTATTTTAAGACCTGAATACACTGTTGAAGCTCTCATGGGCCACATAAAATGCTGTGGCAGGCCATACTTGGCCCACGGACCTTGGGTTTGACACATGGGTGTTAGACAGTCCAAGCTACAATATAAAACACCTTTTGATGAACATGGTCTGTTTTGTTTGTGTTTGTGTGTGTGTGTGTGTGGACTTTTGATAGGAAGTCTACATAAAGCAGGAGCTTTCACTATGAGTCATGGTCCAAACACTGCAGACTGGATCAGTTTGTGTAACACATTTATGGTTGTTGCATCAAACTCTATGGCAGGGACGCCCAAACATTTTTCCTAAAAGGGCCAAAATAAAAATTGATCTGAAGGTTGCGGGCCAAAATAATTTAATACATGAAAGGCAAATACTTCTTAAGTAAAGTTGTTTTATTTTTATGGTTTCAGATAGCATCCAGTGCGGTGGCACACATTTTTTAGCCCATGGATGGACATGGAGGAAATTTGACATATGCTCAGGCAGCAAAGGCTCATCAGACTTTTCATAAATTAAAATTTGAGTATTTTTGGTCTTATAAAGTGTGCAAAATATAGATGTGTGCTTAAATCTAATCTAAATGTCTTGTGTAATTATTTGTATTTTATGATTAGTCTTAATATAGTCCAAAGATAAATTGGTAAGGCTTTCTTTTACGGTACCCTTATTACCATGTAATTACAAGGTAATAAAAAATATAATGAAATTGTAATTACTACCTTACTACAATGTAATTACATGGTAATTAAGGTACAAAAGAAAAAAATACTGTTAGTAAAACAACCTTTATTGAGTAACTACAAACAAATTACTATTCAATATTAACTATATTTAAACCAAAAGAATGCAACTGAATTTTGGGGTTAGTGGTTAATTGCAATAAAATATAACTTTAAAACTGTCCAAATTACCTACTACTTATTTAGGTGTTACGTAGTGAATTGTAAGTGCTACATTACTGCAGACAATTAATTACATAGTAAAATTGTACCCTAATTACCACGTAATTACATGATAATAAGGGCACCGTAAAAGAAAGCGTTACTGATAAATTGAGTACCATGAGTTAAGACATTCTGCATTACAGCCAATGGTTGGGGTGATAAAGTGGAAATACAGTGTTTCTACATAAGGCAGGAGATTACAACCTCGTAGCCAGGATAAGGTGGGCCAAACCAAATGGCTTGGTGGGCCAATTTTGGCCCGTGGGCCCCACTTTGGGCAGGTCTGATCTATGGAATGAAATGGTTCCACCTCCAGAAGTTGGGAGTTCAGTGATGAAGTCGACACAAATGTGCAGCATTGTGTAGTGTTGTGTGTTGCTGTCAGGATCTGTGCAGTTACATAACGACTGCTGCTTCTTTGGCCTCAGTTGGAGCCAGTGGAGGGTAAGGAAGGACTTAATGAGCTGTTTGTGTGCATCGACATCGCTACACTGAACTCCAAAAAAAGACGTTAGTAAAATTGCAAATGTACATCAGTTAAATTTGTTCACAATTTATTTATAGAGCTGTCTGTTAAAGGAGTTTGTGATTCTGTTTAAACTGATCCTCACAGAACACATTATCTGAAAAGTTCACCAATAATTCGACACTTTGCTCCATTTTAATGTCTTTAATTTGTCCTCTGAAAACCTGGTTCAGAGCAGCACAAGGAGGTCGGTGTGAAAACAAACAGCTGGTTGATGTTGTGGGTTAGAGTGGACTGAAGAAAAAATACAAAACAAACACACCAGATTTCTGACAAGACAAAGCTGATTTAAGTCTCTTTACACATTCTCCACATGTTCAAAAATGTTAACACACGACACAAAAACAAAACTCTTGGTGATTAAACAGAAACTCATCTTCATCTTTGAGCTAAAAGTTAAAACCGTATCAAACTCCTGTTACACAAGAGACACACCTTCACCTGAGCCCAGCTGATCAGCAGATCATCCTCAACAACAGCGAAGGCCTCTGGATAGTCGCACGCATAAATTAAGAAATAAATACATCACTTCTCTATTTAGTTTCAGAGCAAAAGACATTTAGGAATTAAAACCAGAGATCCTAGTCTAACCTTAAAACACAAATATAAAAAAAAACCTTGTTAAGATTTCAGGCTGCACGTTTATAAAAAGGGACTTTATGAGGCAACAGTTGTGAACTTTGTATTTATGAGGGTGATGCTTAAAAACAGCTCAGGCACGTTGAGTACAGAAAAATATTTAACGAGGAAATTACTATGGTATTTATTATTGTGACAAACTTAAGTTTACACCCTCAAAGTCACCTACATCAGTTCCTCGTCCGACTGATTTTGTTCCCTAAAGAAAAAAAAATTCATCTTCATCCCAAATGATTTTAGAAACTGGGAAAGACAGCGGAGGGCTGGGATAAAAACCAAAGATATTCCGTTTCAGCATCAGAAGTTGAAAAATGACCTGTTTTAGTATCTTTACACATACGGTATATAAACACACACACACAAAAAAACCTACACGACTTGACTGTAGTGTTGCTGTGACACAGACTCGACCCCAAAGTAAATCCCGAGCTCTTCTGTCTGCGTTCAGTAAACTGACTCTGGAGGAGTGCTACAACCCGAAACCTCGTCTCCTGGCTGTCGGAAGTGTTTTACGTTGCCGTCCGTCATCTGTCCTCCGCTGTTTGTGACGCTCTAAATGTCTGTTGTGAGAGGACAACACCGATCCAACCAGTGTGTGATCGGTGACGGCCCAAAAAGTAGGTCAGCCCGAACCTCTCAAAGGTAGTCATCATCTCTGAGAGAGAAATATTTACAATACTTGGACACATCCTTTTAGATGGTTAGGAAAAAACAACAACAACCTGTTAGTTGATCGTTGACTCGTTCGATGGCCTTGGCTGAGAAGATTTGGCAAAATGAAAATACTTAAAGCAACTGTTGTGACAGAGTCAACAGAGATGAATCAGAACAGAACGTCTTCTTTCTAAACTTGGTTCATTTGACCCATGCTTCATTTGGAGACAAACGATCTCCAGCTTTGGAAGCTTGTTTTCTTTTAAAAGGTCTTCAGTGAGAAACTATGCTGCAGACACAAAACTGATGCCCTAAGCTTCACTTCCCACCATCATAACAGAAAAAAATAAAGTTTCTTATTGCTGGATTTATCAGAGATTACCAAATTTCCCTCTGGGATCAATAAAGTATTTTTTGAATTGAATTGAATTGAATTGGAGGCTGAGGAAGACATTAGTGCTGGTTAGGATGGCACTTTTTAAGGCATCGTGTGGAAAATACAGTTCAGAAGATGTTAAAAAAATACATTCAAGTCAGTGTTCTACGTGTGAGAGGAACCATCCTGGTGTGTTTAAAACAAGCAGCTCGTCCCGTTCCATGAATCCGTCCTGATCAGGTGTTCAGTTTGTTGTTTCGGCTTCTTATTGGCTGGCGAAGAGCTGCAGGTCGAGTCGCACCCACACCTCGCCGGTCGAGACTTCGTGCAGCAGCAGGCGGCGAGTCACCGGCCCCTTGTTCTCCAACTCTTTCTTTATGGTTGCAACGGGAACCTCCGTCCTCCCGAGGAACACTGACGTGAGGAGAAACAGGAAGTGTTAAAAAAATAAAACAGGCAGGAGCTCCTGTTAACATTCAGCAGAACGCCTGCGTGCCGTTTTGTATTCGTTTTATTTTGAAGTATCATATCTGTTTCCTGTTCAGCCTGTGTCTGTGTGCATTGCATCAAACTTGACGTCTAGGCCTCCTCTTTCGATTGACACCTCATTTGACCAATTGGGTTCAGGTTTCGGCTGTCTAGGGCCAATAATATATCAATAGCGACCAATTTCCGGTTTCCCTCTTTCTAGATTTGATTGACTGTAAAATCGGCCAATCATATCCGAGCTTCGTTCTGATGCCACAGCTGTGTAGCCAATCACCGTACCTTTCATTTAATGTATAAATAGAGGGGGTGGGAACTTTGTTAGTGATGGAAGATGATAATTCACTGGAGGCGCCCATACTTCGGCACTGTTACAATGCTAAGGAAGACAGCTAACGCTCACAGGAAAATGTTGTTTTCCACAGTTTTTTGGCCAGTTAGCTGACGAAACATGCTGATAAGATGAAAATATATTTGTTATTAAGTGTTTTGAGTGATTCAAGACATGGAAGAGCGATTTTTGTGGCCAGGAGAAGTAAAATTATTTGGATTAAAAGACTTCCGGTCGCCATTTTGAATCGCAAATTTGGACATATTTAAGGACAGATATGCATCAAATGTGAGTGAAAAAAAATTTTTTTTTCACTGCTGGTGGTTTTATAAGCTGTGTGGAATGTTAATGCTCTGAAAGATATAAGGATATATTGTTTATTCTTGTGGTATGGCTGGGTATTGGTGGAAATTTGTCTGAAAGTACAGTGTTGGTGTAAATATTTATGCATATTAATATGTTTTTTTAAATTTAATCATGCTGTGAGTAAATATGGATGGTAGAATGTGTTTTGTGGGAGTTATATCTTTAATTTGAGCCCAGAGTGATGTCCATATGTTGAAATTAGAGTGTTTTAGACAAACTGTACAGTTTGGACATACAGGTAATATGCAAATGAGACA